TAGCTAGAGGAACGTTTATTCGTTTTGAAGATATTTATAGCCACATCATTTTTCCTTACAAATAAAGTTTATAAATTGACGTACAAACGTTGATCAATTGTCACTTTATAATTGCATCATTTCAAAACGAGAAGTAAAAAATCCAATCATTTGCAATAATCCACAAATATGTAGGTTTAAAACGGGATCCAGACACGAGCAAGAAAGACAAATCTGCAAGCTATGCAAGTTAAAGTAGTAAGCGTTCGAAATTGAAGCAAGAGAAGGGGGCGTAGGAAGGGTTAGCCAGCTATTCGGCGAGGTGCGCTTGCACATTGAGCACACATAGGTGGTACATATACGCGTCACTTGTTGTTCGGGCGTTAGGCGTTTGATTAATGGCGTCAGCGCTCATTGGTCACGCTACTAATAAAGGAGCGTTCACACGTATTAAAGCTGGACGCGAGCAGCAGCGGCGTCGCATATAACGAGGGAATGGCGTGCCCGAGCTCATAATTGACCAACCGCTGCAATCCAATCGCTCTTAATCATTGCAATTCATCTCCGCGAAAACGATCATTGTTCAAAAGCTTCTCACTCCTTCTTCTTGTTATCGCTTTGTTTTACATATGCACGTCGATGAGGAAGTCAATTATAGTTTTTTCTTTCTTTGCTTGCGTGATAGGTTTTCTGGAGAAAAAAAAAGAAAAAAAAAACATATGATGCATTGTTACTTTGCGCGCTCAATTGTGGCAATTAGGTCTGATGAAAAACCGGCCGATTGCGCACCACCGAGCAGTTTATGTGGCTGGAGCTGTGCTGATTTCCTTTATTTCTTTTTATGGCGGCAAACATTGATTTAAACTGCGATTTTTCAACGGCTTTCCATTGAGATTGCTGAACAGTAATTTCGCTGTTGAGAAACGGATATTTCACATTTGTAATTGCGTATAGTTACGAAAAGATTTTGAGAGTGTCACATGTCGAGTGAATAACAAGAATGGATTTTTTCGACAGAGAATTATAATTAGCTGTAAATTTTTGCGCAAAGTAAATCTCAATAGACAGAGCAGGTATCCAATTACAAAAAGGAAAATGTAGTACTTAGTCACATTTCAAAGGCGATCAAACACCACCACGATTGCATTTGCATTGTACGGCTCGTTGAAAGAAAAAAAAAATCAGTTAACTATTAAATTTCCACTGTCCACGGACGAAGCGTTATAGTAAGCGATATACGACATCGATCGATCGACTCGCGGGAACGAATGGAGAACGTGCAGGCTCAGCTAGAAGAAAAGAGAGGCAAGAACAATGCGAGAGCAGTGGTAAGATTATCTAAGCAGCAATAACGCAGGAATCCGCTCGTTATATCGAATCGTTACGAGAGAGATCCTTCAATCGGCCGCGCGAAACCCCATCAGCGCACTGCTGCACTGGTAGAGCGTTGCCGGCAAGGATCTCGACTTTCCGGTGCATGCACTGCAGCAGCAATCGATAGCACGGCGTGCTCGGTAATGGTCGGCTGGCTTTTGCGCTCGCTCCTATATACGGCGCAGATGCAATTACACACGATTATTAACTGGCAAAAGCGCCAATCGCCGATCGGCCTGCGATCTTGCGATCTCGTCGTCCGTCGCCCAGCCTCGCGGGAAAAATGTTTATGGTCAGTGGCAAATAAATTAAAGCGGACGCCCCCCCCCCTCTCTTTCCCCGCGAAATACGTCGTGGAGGCTCGAAGCCGAGGAAACGGGGCTGCGCATGCGTGCTGAGCTTTTTCTCTTGTTCGTTTCAGCGGAGAGCGATATACGTAATACGAGTGCATGTGGATGCGGTCGTTATTCATTTTTCGCTGCTTCGGTGGCAATCGCCAACGCTTTTTGCATGCCGTTGATATATTATACTTGATTTTCACGTCAGTTTTATTCGAATTGTTAGCTGCGGTGTTTGCTTTCTTTATTGTATCCGGATAATCGGGTATCGTATTTATAAGCCACCATCGTTTCGCAAATGCATTTTACGTAGCCGCTTAGAAATGCCGCGGGCGCCGTGCTCGCAAGGAAATTGCTCGACATTAAAGTGCGCAATGCAATAATCTATAATTTGAGCTTTCGGCACTGACAACGCAGAAAGCCGTCCGTTCGCTAAACGAGAGCCGAAGCCAAGAAGTAATTGTCAACGTAGTTCCGAACGCACAATAACGCAAACAAATTGGCCATCTGTCAACGCGCACGCGAGCGAGCGTGTTCGATACGTCCGAAAAGCTCGCACGCGCACGGCGCGCGCAGCAGGCGAACAATCCTCAAAGAGAGAAAACAACGAGAAAACAGCTCCGCGTTGTAATATAACGCGTGCAATAAACGACGCTCCGCGTCTAGTAGAGGATCCATTGCGTCTTTTTTTGGCGCGCGCGGGCGCAAATCGTTTGATTGCGTGGCCGGTGGCAGTGCGGAAACGGTTTACCATGCAATGCGGTCTCGCGCGGAGCGAGAAAGAGCAGCAGTTTTACAGAGGCCCGAATGAGCGGGTGCTTTTGATCAAAGAGAATTTCTGCGCCGAATGGCAAGTTTGCAGTCGCCCCGGAGGTGCCGGTACCAATATAACGGACGCTGTAAAGACCCTTACGCCTGCGCAAGATTCACTCCGCGTGTAACAAAACGTTTCGCGTCTGTGTGCAAAATCCAATTTTCTGTTCATACGAATTGATTTTTAGCGATAAGAATTGGAAATTAAGCGCGACTTTTATAGCTTTCATAGTTCGCATTACCGGTAAAGAAACGCTCCGGAGAGGGAAAAAAGCTAATGTAAGATTCATCTCGCTAAACCCCACGATAATTTTTCCGCACGCGTATTGCTCGCGCCCGGGAGAGAGGCGTTCAAAGCGGTCTCCAACCATAAATTACCTAGAAGTTTACCAATTCGAGCCGTCTCTGCTCGCCTTCGCGCTCTCTCTCTCTCTCTCTCTCTCTCTCTCTCTCTCTCTCTCTCTCTCTCTCTCTCTCTCTCTCTCTCTCTCTCTCTATCCCGTTGCCGGTAATCTCGCTGAAGGGGATTTTTAAATTGGCTTCTTTGACGCGGGGCGACGAGTTTTATCATCGTATCAGAATAATTTGTGCCTCGAGTACCTCAACATCGAACTTTTTCTTTTATAAACGAAAACATTATGAATTGCGGTAGAATGATTGACAAGAATGCAATCTAATTTGTTTAATTTGAATAATTCCATGTAGCGTAACGGATTTTCTTTATTACCTGACAAAAGATAAAATTAAGTTAGTGTAGTTAAAGTTAAAATTTTTTTTCTTGCCATATATATAGTAACGAAATATCTTATGTCGAAAAACACGATTGGTTATCCCAGCCGTACTACTCTACTGTTTCAGATTTTCATCTCAAACTGAATCATACCTGTATTAAAATCAAGTTAAAATGTATATATTCAATCATAACGCGATTGTTTACGTCACAGCAGCTGAAGAACCATATTCCACAGTGTGCGCGAATTGAATAAAAAACATCTTCATTCACCGGTGCATTCGAGATGAGACTTGGAATTTCGCGTCATTGTGGCGATACACAGCGCTGTAAAACAAGACTCATTGCAGCAATGTGTAGTTCTTTGTCTTTTTTATTTTCTTTATCCTTTATAGACTAGCTCACAAGTCAAGCGAGGAAAGCCGCAGATTTCTCGAAACAAAACGCGAGATATACCCAACATGATATACTCACATATGTATGAATTACGCTTGATGCATTTATATGGTGTTATGGTGTGCGTAGGCCAGGAAAAAAAATTACATCGACCGCGGGTGCTCGGGTGAGCTTTGAGAACTGGCAAGATGAGTTCGCGAGTAAAATAAAGTAATTGTTACTATTATGCTCGCACTGATGTGAGAACTCGCTTAATTAATACCACCTCGCGAAAAATGTACCAACTGGGCGCTATTCAGATAGCGTGCTCACGTGTGTACACCCGAATCTATTTCGATGTTTTAATTACATCGGTTAATTGTAAAGGCGAAAGGTTTCGTTTACATTTTGCATTAGGCAGCAATTAATCCAGGTGTTGTTAATTCCATCTATTGTTGATGCTACGTTTTGTGTAAGCAAAGATTGCAAGTCCTGCACCATCACTATTCTACAAATTATTGTTAAATTTATCAGTTGTAATTTAAATCAAACGTACATTTCAATAAATATAATAGTATGTAACGTGTGATGCCTAACATTTTATGAACAAATTCATCAAGGTAACCAAACAAGTACTTTATTATAATGTATTAATCGAATACTACAACATTTAGGGGCGATGAACATTTGAAAATCATATTATTTATGCAAAGTAGAAGTTTCCTCTTATTTCAAATTAGTATTGTTAAAATGTCAAGCATCACAATCTTAATCATCCACTTATCTTTATGTATTTATCTGCAGAGCAATAATTTTGTCAAACATTCCAGCTTGAATTTCAAAAATGATGCAATTTGTGATTTCTTATGTTTCAATTTTGTAATTATTAAAGATATAATGTCAATATTTTGAACATTGTATAGTATTTATTTCGAAGAATAATAACAGATAAATATATATCTGCTGATTGAATTCTAATCAAAATAGTGTAATATAATCTATAAATTAAATAATTATTCAGAAGCTTGATTTTTAAGTCTCTTTTCTGTCATCGTAACTAAAAACAATCAAATATTATTAATTTAAAATCCCATTCATATAAAAAACAACAAAAAATATTAAACTTAATAAATAATTTAGTCAATTATTCTCCGGAAATTTCATCTTATTCCAAAAAGATACAAAAAACCTTTATTTATGACTTTTCTTGAACAAAAAAGATGATGAAATATTACGGTATACGTCATTCATTTCTCAAATATTGTTGCCTGTAAAAGTGATTTCAGCTGATAAAATGATTACTTTTTATTGCAAAGTATAACCTTCTTACCGAAAATAGTATGGTAGGTATGACACGTTCATTTACGTTGAGATATCAATGTACGGATCAAATGTCAACAGTTTGAGGATATATAATGCAAAATTTTATTGCTGACTTCACACTTCCTTTAGTACTGCACTTGTACTGAAATATTTTTGTGAAAGAGTCATTGTTGCAGAAATGAAAATCGTTTCCCTTCTTCTGTGTTGCTGCGCTGTGGCTTTGGTAAGGCATTTATTTAAATAATCATACAATAAGTTATTCGTGTACACATAAACACTGAATAAATATTTCATTCTTTTAATAGTAAAGTGTTTATAGATACTTCAAATTTATACTAATACAGTAGTGAATATATGAAGTATTTCAATCGATTCTCAGGGAAAATGACGTGATATTCTCTTTCTTTATTTCTCTTATATTATTATTTATTTTATTTTTATTCTCTTTAAAAAAAAATAAACTGACAAAGTGAAGACAGTTTATTCGTGAACTGTCTGACTGAAAGATAGTCCCGTGATCAGCTGTTATGTGATAGATTATACTGTGTATGCTTATGAAAGATTACTATAGATTTTCGTAGATTAATAAATGTTCGAAAAATTTATCAGCATAACCGGTATGAATTTAATATGAATAGATTGATTCAATCATATTAACCTGAAAATGAAAACAAACTGATACCATGATAGACAAACTAATTGAACGTTGCTCTATACGAAAATTTAGCTTCAAATAAACAAAGCAAACAATAATAAAAGATATAAATCGATAGATTATTTATTAAGACTATTAAATTCCATAGAATATTAGAAATTTTTTTTAAATTTAATTACAACCGTGAACATCTATATCGAAATATATTATTTACATTGTGATGGATATGATTATAAACAACTATAATGCTTTTAGAACTTATATTACATTTTTTATTCTGTTTTTCAAACTTTTGAATGATGATTCTTTAAAACATAACTTTGATTGATAAATCATAAAACTTCATCGATAGCATTTTTAAATAATGTATAAATGAATTTAAACGTAACTACATTTTTATTTACCAATAAATAATATCGTCGATTATATCTCATATCAAGTCAAAAGAATATTTAATGCATATTAAAATTTTGAATTTTCAGTTTCACTAATACAAATTTTGATCTATATTCGCGTATTAAAATAAATACGAAAAAATAACGAAAACAATGAGCGCGAAAAACGCACTAGCCGTATAGAGATAAGATTAATTTTCAATAACAAATAAAGTGCGATATCAAATAAATATATTATTAATAATAATTAATATTAATTTAGGCGGCACCAAACCTTGACATTGGCGGCAGCTTAGGTATAGGTGGAAAGGGTGGAATTCTTGGTGGAAGCTTGGGACTAGGCGGTAAGGGTAGTCTTGGCGGAAGCTTGGGAATTGGAGGAAACGGTGGAATCAGTGGAGGCATTAATGGAAGCGGTGAAAAAGGTATGTTTTTACCTATGAATGTATTTGTCGTTCATTTTACTTTCACGACTATATATATATTTTGAATTCGCAGGAATATCGATAACATAAATAAATGACTTAATTGATTTATTGATTACCGATACATGATATAAAAATTGAATAGGTAGATTTGCGAGTATTAGAGAATTTATTAATTAAAGAAATAAAACGTACATATCGTGTAAGCTTTGATACAGAATTAATTCATTTCATTTTTTGAGTTCCTTAATTGTACATCGTGCGAGAATACGAGTCACTCCCCTATTCTCATCATGTTATACTGTCTACGTCGAATTCAAAATTAGCTCATGATATTATAGTATGATTAATAAAATTTAAGGATAAACATATTACAACGGAAAAATTGAGATGTCTAATATGTAAAATTATTGAATAACTATTTCACAAAAATTTCATTTCTTCTTGAACCAGGATCTAAAGGACAAGGCGGCATCTCAGGCAGTGGTGGAATAAATGGCCAAGGCTCGGGAGGTGGAAAAGGTGGAATCAGTGGAGGTATTAACATTGGCGGTGGAGGAGGTTTGAATGGAAATGGCGGAATCTCAGGCAGTGGTGAAATAAATGGCCAAGGCTCCGGTGGTGGAAAAGGTGGAATAAGTGGAGGCATTAGCGGAGGCGGCCAAGGAGGTTCGAAAGGAAATGGTGGCATCTCAGGCAGTGGCGAAATAAATGGCCAAGGCTCGGGCGGCGGAAAAGGCGGAATCAGTGGAGGCATTAATATTAGCGGTGAAGGAGGTTTGAATGGAAGTGGCGGCATCTCAGGCAGTGGTGAAATAAATGGCCAAGGTTCAGGCGGTGGAAAAGGAGGAATAAATGGAGGCATTAGCGGAGGAGGTCAAGGAGGTTCTAAAGGAAATGGTGGCATCTCAGGCAGTGGTGAAATAAATGGCCAAGGCTCGGGAAGCGGAAAAGGTGGAATCAGTGGAAGCATTAATATTGGCGGTGGAGGAGGCTCGAAAGGAAATGGCGGCATCTCAGGCAGTGGTGAAGTAAATGGTCAAGGCTCAGGCGGCGGAAAAGGCGGAATCAGTGGAGGCATTAGCGGAAGCGGCCAAGGAGGTTCGAAAGGGAATGGCGGCATCTCAGGCAGTGGTGAAATAAATGGCCAAGGCTCGGGAAGCGGAAAAGGCGGAATTAGTGGAGGCATTAACATTGGCGGTGAAGGAGGTTTGAAAGGAAATGGTGGCATTAACATTGGCGGTGGAGGAGGCTCGAAAGGAAATGGCGGCATCTCAGTCAGTGGTGAAGTAAGTGGTCAAGGCTCGGGCGACGGAAAAGGCGGAATCAGTGGAGGCATTAGCGGAAGCGGCCAAGGAGGTTCGAAAGGGAATGGTGGCATCTCAGGCAGTGGTGGAATAAATGGCCAAGGCTCGGGAAGTGGAAAAGGCGGAATCAGTGGAGGCATTAACATTAGCGGTGAAGGAGGTTTGAGTGGAAATGGTGGCATTAACATTGGCGGTGGAGGTGGTTCGAAAGGAAGTGGCGGCATCTCAGGCAGTGGTGAAATAAATGGCCAAGGGTCAGGCGGTGGAAAAGGCGGAATCGGTGGAGGCATTAGCGGAGGCGGCCAAGGAGGTTCGAAAGGGAATGGCGGCATCTCAGGCAGTGGTGAAGTAAATGGTCAAGGCTCGGGCGGCGGAAAAGGCGGAATCAGTGGAGGCATTAACATTAGCGGTGAAGGAGGTTTGAAAGGAAGTGGCGGCATCTCAGGCAGTGGTGAAATAAATGGCCAAGGGTCAGGCGGTGGAAAAGGCGGAATCGGTGGAGGCATTAGCGGAAGCGGCCAAGGAGGTTCAAAAGGAAATGGTGGCATCTCAGGCAGTGGTGAAATAAATGGCCAAGGCTCGGGCAGCGGAAAAGGCGGAATCAGTGGAGGCATTAATATTAGCGGTGAAGGAGGTTTGAATGGAAGTGGTGGCATTAACATTGGCGGTGGAGGAGGCTCGAAAGGAAATGGCGGCATCTCAGGCAGTGGTGAAGTAAATGGTCAAGGCTCAGGCGGCGGAAAAGGCGGAATCAGTGGAGGCATTAGCGGAAGCGGCCAAGGAGGTTCGAAAGGGAATGGCGGCATCTCAGGCAGTGGTGAAATAAATGGCCAAGGCTCGGGAGGCGGAAAAGGCGGAATCAGTGGAGGCATTAACATTGGCGGTGAAGGAGGTTTGAAAGGAAGTGGTGGCATCTCAGGTAGTGGTGAAATAAATGGTCAAGGCTCAGGCGGTGGAAAAGGCGGAAATAATGGATGTTGGATCATCAGTGGTGAAGGAGGTAAAAATGGGAAGGGTGGCATCTCAGCGAGCGGTGAAATAAAAGGCCAAGGTTCAGGCGGTGGAAAAGGTGGAATTGGTGGAAGCTTGGGCTTAGGTGGAAGCTTGGGCTTAGGTGGAAAAGGTGGAATTGGTGGAAGCTTGGGCTTAGGTGGCAACCACGGATTTAATCTAAACTTGGGCCTAGGCCGCAAATGATATCTAGAATAGTTATTAAAATATGAACTATGACCTAGTTGTCTGTAATGTTAATGCTAAAAATTTAATAAAACTTTTTGAATTGAAAAATGGCTTTCTTATTTATCTAAGACGAAACGGTACCATTTACCCAGTTCTTATCGAATTGTTGTAACTACGTATGTAGATTATATAGATGCAATAATAATAAAGTACAAATTCTTTTGGACTACTACAATATTTTCATTGTACACTGTTCCATAAAAATACAGTAAATAAATCTCAACTTACAACGTTTGGTTTTCATGTTAATTGATATTCATAAACATGTTGCAATTCATGATATTGATTACTGCTTCGTACTAATGCGACTACAGCTTTTTGCATCTTGAATTAGTTTTCATAATTAAAATAATTAATTACTATTTATCTTTGCCTGTACATACTTTACTTGTACAAAACAAAAGTTTTTTTCCAAACATAATAAAAATATCGTTTAATAAAATTATGTAATCTAACACTTGGAATGAATCCTTACTTTACTATATGGGTGTCTATAAAAAAAATATCGTTATAACGGGTTCGAGCTATTTATAGCATAGTTGTTAAACGATTTTTATTATATTTGAAATGTATCGTTAAATAGAAATAACAATCTTCTTCTAGTCTAAATAATAAAAGTCAATAAATAAATAAATGTATTTATTCTACAATCTAAATTAAAAAATTAATGTTATACGCGTTTGAAACGGGATGATAAACAAACTTGCGTGTTTAAAAGTTTACTTGGGGGGGGGGGGATATAGACCTTTGGAAGATATGGGCCAGATAGTTGGAGTTTCTTTTTCCATTTCCATTTTTGTATGTAAAGGAAAAATTGTTTTTGATCGGTGTAGGTCATGAAAGAATAAACTAATTTTTAACGTTTCTTTAACAGATTCATTAATCTCTTCAGAAAATAAAAATCTTGCACATGTAGCGCTTATTTTAGTACTTCATAGCTTAGATCGTAGAATTCACAATATTAAAAATTATCGTAAATCCCGTTTATTCATATCATAAATTTTTATATGATAACACTGATTTTTTCATTTTTATATAACTATTTTTCATGTGATAATAATCTAGAAAATTATTGCTTGACTAGTCTTAAAAATAAATTTATCTATATTCCCAAGTTGTAAATTATCTTAAATATATAAATGATACCTTTTTAATTATTAAGAGCCAGCAAATTGATACAGTATTAAAGTATTTAAAAAAAATTTTTTTATCAATTTTTTTAGCACAAAACGCGTCAATATCGAAATTTTTCTTTAACTATCCGTGCAAAAAATTGTTGAACTGTTGAAAAAGATTTCGATACGGACGCGTTTCATGCTAAAATAAATTGATAAAAAATTTTTTATTTTTCACTATTATCAAAAACCTGTCCAAAAAATGACGTTTATGATCGTTAATAGGTTAAGAAAATCTCTGCTTTTTAATATTTTCAGTAAGCTTAGCGTGCAAAACTGTAATGAACTTTACGAGTAGCCGTTTTAAAATCGCGGCAATATTTATATCGCATTGTTAAAGCGGCGCCAACTTAGATTATTTGCTAAATCTCATTGCCGTAAACATTTTTTCAATGCTAAAATAAACGAGGTGATAAAATTGATTGAAAAATCCATATTTTAATTGAATTAGATACATTGCGCAATTAAATTAATTTACAATAAACAATTTAGTTTAGTGATAATCAGTAAAAAGAACTTGATAGAAGTTTCTAAAAATTTAATTTCGTATCAGAACGTTTTTGTCATCGAATAATCGTAATTTATTATCAAATAAATATTTATATACTTTAAAATTTTGAAATTAAATTTTATGACACTCATTGAATTACTTTTGACTTATATTTACAATTTATAGAAATGTAATTACCATTTACTCCTGATCTATGTAATGCAATTTAACTTGAAACCGTCTCTTAACTACTCTCAATTATTATGGTAACAACGATAATCGGAACTCAACGGCCGCGTAAACTAACGTCCGTCATGTGGTAGAAGAGGGAAGACGTCCAACGATAAATAAGTGTTAAAGCGCGTATCCTCGTTGTTACTCAATGTACATGAGCCAATTTTTCGTGCAGTCTTATAGACCTTTCGAAGCGCATGGAAAAAGTTAAAAAAAATGAAAGTCAGTGCGTATTGTTAAATTCAAATGTGACGGCCTCCGGTAGACGCTTGAGCATGATTAGCGTCCGGAAATGATAAAGCCGCGCGCAAGTTACTCTCACTTTCCTGCGTGCGAGCTGGGAAAGTTGGTGCTAATTATAATGGACGTTAAGTAATCGCTAAGTTTACGTGCAGCTTATGCTCGTGTACGCGCTATTCCAAGTTTTTAATTAATCTCATCCTTCGCGTGAATATTTTTTGTTCGTTTTCGACTGAGGCTTTTATTAAGAAACGCTCCATGCGCGCCTTTGCTGTTTTGCATAAGAGCTCTTAAATTATCAAGCGTTCCTAAACTAGCACGCTGCTTTGACGTCTCGACACTGAATATCGGAGTCGCGGTATGCTGTCCTCCAATGAAACGCTGTCAGTTTGTCTACGCGAAACAATGACGGCAAACTTATCATCGTTTCGGTTCTTAAAGGAGAAACGACGAGAAGGCGTTTTGCACGCCAAGTGTTTTTTCATGCATTCGCAAACATTAATGAATGTTGAACGTTGCCCTCCCACATAAGCGGTGCACAGTGTAAAATATGAGATGCACCCTGCCAAGTTAACTCGAATGATGCTAGAAAAAGTCGGTCAATCCGTCACGTGACACAGCTGCAGTAGTTGACCGATGCAGACGTTTGGATTAACACGTCTCGCGCGCTAAGTAGCAATGAGTCGCACGATAAGCAAGCTATATAGCGAGTTTAGGATGCATGCAGGCGAAATAACGAGCGGCGAGTGAGCGAGCGCGCAAGTCTATGGCTTCTTCGCACGACAGGACAATAAAAGCGAGCGAGGCCGCCGCCTGTAAAATGCTAATTCCGACGCGTTTCCAAACGGATTTCGCCTGGGCACCGCAATGTTTCCGCCGACGCCGGCTCTTCCGCCCGAGGGGGTGTGTAATTGCACTTGATGGGGTATTAGCTGCCGCTGCTGCTCTCTTTTTTTTTGCGCGCGCGCTCGCACTCAAGGCTCATTCTAGCGGTTGTCTATCGCGCGCGGATTTTCACTTCGTACAGGCGCACATGCGCCTAAATGTTGTGTGGGATTACTCTAGCGGTATTCCCCCTGCGTTATTTAGGAGCCGCGTTGTATTTGATACAAACTGGAATTGCTCTTTGTTCTCTTTTTTTTTCTCTCAGACTTTATCAGCTTTCTATTGCCTCGAGCTGGACGAGTTTTAAAGCCTGCTGCAATGGTAATTGATCGATTTATATATGTTGATTGCTCATTGAAATGCACAAAAACACTCGCGATCGTCGATTTCTAGTTCAATCTTTTATGACGTAATTTTTCTGATGAAAAATTGATCATTACATGCCCATTAAGTGGGCATATTAAACTGCGTTATAGAAACGCGTACTGTTAGAATGATTTTTCTCTATCCCGAAGTCTCTACAAGTTCATATTCACATTAAGCCGTCATTAATGCCGCGAGTATGAAATCGCGAGGCTGAATTAATGTGAACCGTCGTGCGCAGCTATATATCGCTTCGGCATTGTCCAAATAAAAGGTGTATTACGAAAAAATAAAGAAGATTGATCGATCGAAGTTTGATAAATCGTGTTGCTCTCACGTCTTAATAAAGTAATTACCCCACCGTCGACGTGTCACAATATCTCACTCGAACACACTCACGCACGAAATTCCCTGTGTGAGAGGAACAAAAGCCGCGGCGGTAATGATAATGACGATAATCGTCGCCAAAGTCATTACTCTGAAAGAGATTTCCGAGCGTGAAATCAGCACCCGCGCGCTCGTTTGGTAGATTCCGAAAGCATCCTACGCGCGAGATAATGCGCACGAGTGCCAGAGAGATATCGAAGCAGCCGCTAAAGCGCTAGAGACGCTGCAATGCTACGAATAGTATTTTTTTTTTCATTCTCTTGGAAGGACTTTCGAGTACTTTCTATCTAAGGAGAGCCGTGCAAGATGTGAGTTCGAGCGTCGGACTTCCCAACGATTTTATGATTTTTCGGTGTACGCACAAGTGGAGGGTTTTCAAATTAATGGAAAATATATTCCTAATGCACGTGGATACGTAATTACGCTCTATTAGTACCCCGCTGTTATTAATTTTTGAAAACCTTTTCAGTGTTCAATGTAGGATAACGACTTTTCCAGCTCACGCGTGACGACGAACAATGTACTCTTGCTCTGCTTGAGAAACGGTTTTGACATAATTATTTATGTTTACAATAACGTTCGAGCAATAGTCACACGCGGAAAGCTGACGTCATACAAAATGCTTTGGAGTGTATGAAAATAGACACCTAATGATGGAATTTACGCGATTCTAGAAGAAAAATGCATGCGGTCGCGTACAAGACAAGTGGAGAGGGAAAATCCGCGTGGTTTTTCGCCGTTCGGAAGAGACAATTTTTTAGGGCACATTTGTCAGCAGCGTGCAAGTCCATTTCTGCAAAGCGTTCTATCAGCGGCACGGCGGTCTCCTTGTGGCACGCGGCCGCTTCAAAAGAGCGTCATCCATCTCGGCTGCGGCAAAAGCGCAAAGGCGCGGCTGCTGCTCGTCGTAATTAAATTAGGCAAAAGTCCCTTCCTCTTCGCTCTAGGAGGTCAATTCTAGGCGCGCGCGAGATTCTTTTGTAAGGCGATTTGCATGAGAAATTCTGATTGATTGTCCCGCACGCGCATATGAGACGAGTCAAATTGGCATAATGACTCTGTTATCGTGAATCGCGACTTCAATCATACGTCGTATCAATCATTGCAGCAGCTCTCGAGAGAACGAATGAGAGAGAGAGAGAGAGAGAGAGGAGAGAGGAGAGAGAGGAGAGAGAGAGAGAGAGAGAGAGAGAGAGAGAGAGAGAGAGAGAGAGGAGAGAGAGAGAGAGAGAGAGGAGAGAGAGAGAGAGAGGAGGAGAGCACATTAAGCGGGTAAATATATGCAAGTGCGGTAAGGATGGACGCCAAGTAATTACCGTCGTAAGCTTCGCGAAATTGGATCTCGCGCCGCGCGCAGCCTGACGCGCGCTTTGTTTTGCCGCAACGCCATGGCAATTGCTGCGCCTTTCTGCCGCATTTGTCATGCGCGCGAGAGACACTTTTGCTTTTTTATTTGTTTGATGTTTGCTGAATTAAATGTCGGCTGCCATTGATTGATTGCGAGAAAGATTCTTTGTCAGATTTCATGAGCTTCGTTGACAGTTCTGATTTAACAAAGCCATTTGTTAGTTGAATTAAATTAATGGGAGGTTTCTCTTTATTTTTTTCATTACTATTTATTGATATAGACGAAATAACTTTGTTCAGATTATCTTCGTACGAACCTACGGAGATAACTCTTTCTAGCTTAATTTTCAATTAGATAAAAACGAATAATTATAAATATTTATACACAAGTAGAGACCAATTAGTCGCTTTTCACTTCTTCGTTTTCTTAATCGGTTCCAAGCCACTATCGAACTCTGATATATTCAACATTCTCACATTTTTGAGCATGCCATTTCGACGATCCTGTTGTCTTAGAGAGCCTTGTCCTCCAGCGCCTTGTTGTTTCGAGCTGTCTTTCCTTCTCTCTTCGCTGAAACCAAATAAAAAGAGTCTTTATAAAAAAAACACACGAAATTGCGACGCTTAAGTGTCGCATTAGGAGTGGCAAGCAATTTTCGGTAGGCCCACCGCCGCGACATGTGGTCCTTTAATGAAAAATTGACAAAAACGGGAGAAGCGGGAGAAGCGGGAGAAGCGGGAGAAGCGGGAGAAGCGGGGTAGTAAACACGCGATGGGGTATACCAACTGGCGTGTCCAATCTCCAAGACGAACTGCGCATTACACGCTCGCCTTCTTTTCGTGGCTTCTTCCTTTTTTGCGACGATTATACATTGTCGTTCTTGCATTTCCGCCGAAGAAAAGTATCTCCGAACGGACGATCGAATCGATAAGAGTATATCGCTGGCAACCGTGTCGAACCATCGTGCTTCATTCGTGAATTCGTTCGTGTCGGTCTCCGTGATCACGGGAAATAACGTCAACGGATAAAGCTTCAATTAAACCTTGACGCGATCGAATGTTTTTTCAAGTGAATTAATTTCATTCGAATTTTATCTTGCGCTTGATGTGCGAAACACACATGACTGCGTTGATTCATGCACGTTGTATCAATCGCCTTTGACACTCGCTCGATAAATTATCCAGCTCGTTCAAATTCAAACATACGCAAAGCGTACGGAATTATTCCATTAAACAATTCAGCATGTCTAACTTTTCAAAAAGATCGATCCTGCTATTGAATAAAAGTAATAAAGAAGCCTATCAGTGATCCTATCACATGGCCATTTTGAAGCACGCGCACATTGTCGCCCGATAATCTTTACATCGGCTTTCATCGAGCCGCCCTCTGCAACAAATGAGCGGCCCTCATCGAAAATTATACTCGGTGCATGCTGCATATAGCAGCAAGAGGAGGAGAGAAAGAGCGACATTGCATTAACGCGCGCCAGCAACGTATGCATTATATGACGGGCCTCCGAAATGTTCTGGCGGCGCGCACCTGCCTTTCTCTCGTCGTTCCGCCGCCACCTGCCGAGAACTTGTGACTCAAGACTGAAAGAAAGAAGGTGCATGTGCTCTTCTTTTTTATCCTCATTCTTCTTTCGCGTATGTATGCGAGCTCTTATCAGATGTACGTGTGCGGATCGAGAAACATTCGAGTCCGAAGACCACACGACCGATACGAATTCCAATTGAAATTGATGGCAAGTTCGAGCGTTCGGTTGTGCGCGCATGAGAAAGCAAGTTTGCGTAAGGAGTGGCCCCGTGACTATTCCGCTGAACGCCGACCATCGTTCTGCAGTGTTTATTTTGAAATTAATTATTGGAAATAAGTTTACTTCGTCGGACTGTGAAATCGCTGTGTGCTTATAACTGTGTCAATCCCTCGATTTGTATTGGCTCATTTAGCACAAAGATTTTCATTGGATGCCCACAAAAATGCTGTTTTTCAATGTTTACATCTTTAATGAAAATCAATAAAAAAAACAAATATTAATAAAAAACAATAATTAATAGGAAAATGTAAGCGAAGCTTAACCCAAAAAGTATTACGATAATAAAGAAGGCTCTCGGCATATCACACTCAAAATCACCCTAAGCAATACTCGACTCGAGCATCAGTGCAAACGGCGGCGCGGTGCTGGCGGCACTCGACAAACCACTTCTCGCGTCCACTCGACGCCCGTAGTAGTGGTAGTACATACATACATACATACGCGGTGGCAGCTGGTACAGAGAGCGAGAGAGAGAAAGAGAGAGACGCGTCGTGTGCTTTGGAGGGGCAGGGCGCTTATGGAGGGGGAGTAAGGTAATCGCGCGCTCTCGACCCATTGGACCGTCACCAGCCCGCCTTTCACCCATTAAAAGTCGCGCTCACCCCGCGTTGCTTCCTCCGCCCACGCGCGCAACCAGACGCGCACTTGCTCAAATCCATTCATTTTTCTTTCTCGAGCGTGCAGTGTTTTTTTTCCTGCTCGTCTCGTTATTCGCTTTATTGTGACGCCGGAGCAACGTGTACCTCCGTTCAAGCGAACACACGCTCGTCTTAGTTTTTCGCGCGTTTCACGACAGAATGGGCAATCGGCCGTTTATTTCTTTTTGACAAAATGTATCTTGTGTAATGTGCTTTCGGCATTGGGGCCGGAGGTAAACGATGCAAAAACGTTGCGAACGCGTGTACAAAAGTCACGCGCGTGTACCCCGTGAAGAAACAGCCTCGCGAGCACGCGTCAACATGAAAGCCCGTCTGTTCGTCGATACGGAAAACCCTAAATTAACGGGACTCACGAAAAAAAAAACAAATTAAAGAGGAAGAGAGAGAGAGAAAATGTCAGCGATTAAGTTTCGTACACAAAGCGAATGTCCGCATAAGCAAACATTCGTGATGGGCTCTCTGCGGCATAAATGACGAACGGAAGCGCCACGTTCACATCAGTCTGTTTAATAGCCGTATTGTATAATTACGAACAATGCGAGGAGGGTGGAAGGTGTGCACGAGTGCCACTGAAATGTTACCTTCTCGCTATGTCGTCTGTCCGGCTGACGATGATGTGTCGCGCAACAACTCGCCGTGTGACGGATGGACGCGACGCGCGTTGGCATCGGTCCGCTTTTCGTGGCATGCATCTCAGCCGGATGACGGGTTGTGTTACGCTTTGCCTCGTGGCGATGGGTATATGTACGTTGACAGTGGTTGGGTAGCAGATCAAATAGTTATAGAACCAACGCAATAAAAAATCGATTCTCTCGACGATAATATCTAGATTTTTTAAAAGCCAAGTTCTCGTAAAAATCAACACGAATCACTAAAAGTATGACAAACACATATATCTTCCTGGTTCGCCTTCTCACATTATCGTTAAAGCCAGTTGGCGCGTAAATTTATTCTCATTTCTGCCGATTCCATGAAATCATAACTCCGACAAAAGGAAGAGAATAAAATGGAAATTCGCTCTAAAGATGGAAATTATGAGAACAAAAGATTCGACAGGAATCTCCATTTCCTAAATTACGAACGCGCATATACATAGTTAGAGTGTAATACAAAGAATCGTCGGTTGAAATAGGTTAAACACACATAATTCGCGTAGGAAGAAAAAAAAGGAGTTTGTATACGAGTCAAACGAGCATAAAAAAGCAGCATATATATATAAACAACGAAGAAGAAATTGCGCAATCGGACGATTTCAAAGAGGGGCATTTACGTAAACGTATGAATTTTCCAAGCGAGAGCAACGGCTGGCGTACCATACGTCGCGTGATTGCCGTGCACGTGAAGCCACGCGTGAATCCGTCATTAATGAGCGTCGCCATGAATAAACGCGCCTTTATTCGTTGGCTGCTCTCAACTTTTCTCTGTCTGTCTCTCTCTCTCTCTCTCTTGCAGTTCGTGTTGTATGCGGTTTTCCGTTTCGTAATGCGCAAACGCGGGCGCGCGCGTTTCGGAATCATCGTGCGTGACAATGGGCGGTTTCGACTGGCAATTGACGTTGTTATTTGTGAACGAGTTTATGTAAACATACTTAGCCGCTGCCGCCGCAATTTCGTCCTTGTCTATCTCTCCTCGTTTTCTTTCCTGCCTTACTGCGCCACGACTCGGCATTTAAGTCGCACGCCTCGCCAAGTAATGACGCTAATTTTCGTCGATGCCGTCACCTCGCGTTTTCACGTAGCAAGATCAATTAATTCATTGTTCGCGTACACGACGAGTTTGTTACTCAATTGTGAGAATCCAATTAGCGCGCGTGAATTTTATAATCTTCACCGAGCGACCATTGACAAACGTATAAACATTGTATAAGACGAGTATAAAAGTGAATAGCATCAATATTCTTACCGTTGATTTGACAGTCTATTCTGGTGTTTAGGTCTGGCGTCAATTTCACGCTGTCGTATTGCTTTCCCAGCGCCACCGATCTTGCTAGGTGGGTCTCTCAATGCAAAGCTCTTCGCGTAGTGACCCAAATGCAAGTTTTTACGATTGAACACTTGGCGCATCTCTCGCGGATAGCTGGAGTAGAACTGCACCCATGATGTGTAGGCTGAAAAATGACAATCGCTCTAATACTTTGTAGTCTCTGAGCAGTCACACAATGCATCAATTGGACAGATAATTAATATATTATTTTTGAAGAGTACCCTTGTTATAGAACGACCAGCATATCCATCGTCACAAGTTAATTATACTCATTTAGCTATGTAACGGAACATTATTAAAAATTCGACGATCTAAGGCAAAAATATAAGGTGGTCACGTGTGTACTATGCAACCGTCAATGTGCAACGCAACTGAACATCAAAAGAAGCCCACTTAGGGCTATTAATCGTGCGGCAGCAGTGGCAGCAACCCCGAACGCAGCTATTAAGGCTTGCGAGTCAAGTGTGTGGTGGCACGGCCCATGAGCCTGAGAAACTTTCTGATGTCGGGGGAGAGAACTGCTGCTACTGCTGCTGCTGCTGCGGGCAGAGAGACATGTGCGTTGCGTGCGAACTTTAGGCCAGCGCACCGCGTGCATAATGCGGAAATTATGAAGTGTTTACCGGGTGCGAGACCTCTTTTGTCGAGTATGTGCTGTACGCCCGATGCTCGCTTTTGCTGGGGTTTGACTATGCATGTGTATATTCGACGAGTCATCTTCCGTGTTGGTTTTGGATTATATAGCCGTTGGAATAAATGTGTGTGTGTGTGTGTGTGTGTGTGTGTGTGTGTGTGTGTGTGTGTGTGTGTGTGTGTGTGTGTGTGTGTGTGTGTGTTAAGGCGCAAAGTACACAATGGGTTGTAAACCTGTGAAAGTTATCACGTTTTCGTCACAATCTTTGAAAGTAAATACGCAAACAATTGGATTGTTTGCATACAGTAATGATTTAGTCAACCTCATTAATAGTAGAGGATTGAATGTTCTTATAAGAGAACCCTGATCTCTTAACGTCTGATTGTATTATAATTCAATGCACTTCTTATAACCTCATTCAGTTATAGTCTATATCAATCGATACAAGTCCGATCCATCAGCAAGCATTTTGTGTTTTCACCGTCACTCAACTCGCTCGAGGAAGAAAAAAAAACTTTTGTCCGTAACAAAAGAGAGAAATCTGGTTTTCTTTTCGTTCAGTATTTATCACCCTAAACTCAACTTATGGACTGACGTCAACTTCGGGCTTGAGGAACACTCGAGAGAGAGCTCTCGCTGCGAACAAAAAGCGGCGCCTCGAGGCGACGATTTCGAGAGAAAAACGCGGAATAAAAGCTCTTCCCGTCAGAGCTTTCTCGCGCATTTCCGCGCGAGCGAGAGAGAGAGAGAGAGAGAGAGAGAGAGAGAGAGAAAAGCAACGAACGAGCGCGGCAAGCCGACGCCTAATGTTTTTCTCCATTTAACACATAAATCTGCGCGGATGTGTAGGTGAAGGCTGAATAAGTGTGCGTGTGCGTTCGTGCGGGGGGTGAGAAAGAGAGAGAAAGCATTGTTCCTAAGTGATGTAACTGCGTCTTATTGTATTTGTATCCTGTGTATCGCATTCGGAGAGCGGGAGAGAGAGAGAGAGAGAGAGAGAGAGAGAGAGAGATTCTTCGCCACAAAGCGTAAGTGGTTTTAGCGGAAGCCACATTCAGTGGTTGGATTCAGTGCCATTGCCCGCACACCGACGCTATACAGTTATATATATACACACATATACCTCCCTCGTGAGTTTGTGTTTTGTTGTGTGTGTGTGTGCTGCGGCTGGGTGCTACTAGTGGCTGTTGCTGACGTGAGCTGCAGCGTCGATGCCGGTAAGATACTTACTCGTAAGTTTCTTCCGATTCTTTGACAGTAAGGACTTTCAACCCTTATATTTCATTATGTCGCGCGCAACTTTTGCAATGTTCGTGCTACAGTAAAATAAATGCTACAAATTTTTCCTATTTGTCGCCGACAACTCGTGCTATCACTGGAACACACATATGCGCGCGATTGCGCACGCACATACGCATACATGTATGTATGTATGTATGTATGTATGTATTACCCATTTCGACACGAGTAAACTTGATACTCGAAAAAATTGAGCGCGTCATCGCTTGGCTATCTCGTATACACATTGCGACACATTAACGAACACTTGCCTTAATTAGCATCGCTACGCGTGTACTAAATTTAGTTAAAATTATCATAAGAAGCTTTTTAAATAATATTATCGGTAAAAATGTGTCGCGAAAAAACAAAAATTCTCATCAACATTTATTAGACATTAAAAATTATTCAAAGAGAGTTCCCCCTCAGAGAATGCAAAGTGAGGAGAGTGAAAGCGAGAGAGACAGAGAGTGAGACAGAGAGAAAATTAACACATCACTGGTGAAAGAGCCCATAAATAAATTGACGAATCATCGACACGTTTTAATCATTCGGCTCATCGAGTCAAGGGCGCGCACGCACGAACTAGCTCGAATGAGGGCAATATCCATTCAAGCCCATGGGATGGAATCTCTCGCTTCGAGTGGACCGCAAAAGAGAGAAGCATGCGGGGTGAGAATGCCAAGGGGAACGAGACTCATTTTTCCATTGGGGTAATAATGTCACGAATTAGCGAGATTTCCACTCAAGAGTAGCATTGTATGTGTGTCCCGCCTACTATTTTCATGAGCCATACAAGCCTACGGGGAATGATTATTCGTACGTGCCGCAAGAAAATGTCGCGAAACGTTTTACTAGAAATGTAGGTACAGTGCGTAGTTCGCATGATAGTGTAATTTTTAAGATTCGTCCGTTGAACGTTATACGGTAAATATTTACAAATGTGTAGTATAACACCTTGTAATACGACATTTCGCGCAGTCAAAATATATCAAAAAGATTTATCACTTTGTTTATCACGAGATGATGATTACCAAATAAATTAAGATAAAGATTTGATTTTTAGCAAACGTGAACGAACTGCTTTATTTGTCTAATTATCTAACGTCCGAACGGAAAAGTTTCTAAACGATTAATTCCCGACATGATCTACTGGCTGACCAGTAGAACAGTCGACTGATCGATCACAGCACTGATGCGATATGATAAATCAAAGCACATACGTAGATTTCTTTTTTTTTCTATCAAGAGAAAATCGCTCGCGAGTAGAAACTACGTTGGCGATTTCATCAATCACCAAATGGTCAAGTGGTTAGCTGTGTATAGCGTCAGTCAAATTCGGCGAGATGACGATCGTGGCCGATCGGCTAAAACGCGTAGCTAACCTTCGATGTAAAGCAGCGCGGAACCTTTTACGAAGATTTATGGGCACACGCGAGTCTCCCCCTTTCTCCGATTTACGACCGTGCGCCGCTCTGCCGCGGAGCGAGATGATGCACCTCGCCGATTGATTCTCTTAAATTCTTTTATCCTCCCCCTCTACATTATAAAATATATGTTTTCTTTTGGCTGTACACACCGTTTTGCAGTGGTGTAATTCACGCGTTGCATTATTCATTACTCGATTCGAGACTCGCGCGCGCCAATTCTCTCGATGCTCTTGCGCTGCTGCTCGCTAATAACACAAGTCGAGTGTGTCCAGAAGCCATTAGCCCTAATTATTTCCTGAAGTGAATACTCATTCCACGGACATTCACTGGTGCTGTTTTTCAATAATTATTACAAAAATATACGACAATGGGGCGTTGTGTTGTTCCTTTCATCGCTGCTTGGGCGCCTGCATCGTAATGGATTTATTATTGCGCAAAATAAATTCTTCCCCGTAATAACCCTAATAGAGTGAGCATGGCGTGGCAAACAAGATCATCCCTCCTCGCCTATAGACTATGTAAATAGCCACCGAGAAAGGGGGGGGGGGGGGGGAGAGCAGAGCATCCCATAATTTTGTGTACGCCAAAGCTATATATATATAGGAAAACGGGGGTGACTTTAGTGTTAGGGTCGAAGCTCCACTCCAAAAGCCTTCTCCCTTCTACCCATGCCAGTCCGGCTTATATAGTCTTTACGACGATATAGAGGACGACTTGGGAGACACTAGGAATACTTCCCTTCGTTAGTTCTAACTCGCTTATTGTTTGATTGTCTCTCTCTCTCTCTCTCTCTCTCCTATTCCGACGGACAGCTAATCGCTTTTCGTTGCTCTTCGTTAGCTTCGCCTTTCTTATGATGGAATATATATGTTCACATGTTGTTTTTAGATTTTTAAATTGAATTAGTTTGAGCACGACATTGGCGGCGATTCAATTATGGATGAATTATTTATACATCTAAATTACACGATAGACCAGCTTATTTAAATGTTCCATTACCTTTGCACGCCAGTGTATGATATTTTTTGTTTTCCAATACCAATTCTTCCAGATTGTTTTGTAAAGCAATGGCCGCTGCGTGTACAGAGTTGTGCGGCGAAAGTGGTCCTATCAGATTATTCAATACATCGTCCATATCGTCTTGCTTGATACGTATTTTACGTGCTTCAAGCATTCTTACGAACTCAACTTCAGATGGTGTCAAGAATATCGTCGCTGTACCCGAGGAGCCCGCCCTCGCTGTTCGACCAATTCTGTGCACATAATCTCGCGTCGATGTGGGTCCTGTGTACTGTACTACTATGTCGACTTCTGGAAGATCCAATCCTCTTGCTGCTACATCCTGTAAACAATGAAGAACATTGAATTGTACGATTTTCAGAAAAATAACTGAAAATCTTGGTTGAAGATTTTGGAAAGGTGCGTAAGAAGAATGCTGACAGGAAATATTGATGGTATTCTTACACACAAGCAGCTATAACCATACGAGTACAACACTCTTGCTAACAACGAGTAAATAATATATCAGAAAAGTGAGTGTTTAACTTTCTTATCACAGATAATTTTGGGTATCACGTTAAGACATTCGCTAATACTTTTATTGCCATGAAATTTTCCACACATCTGCAACACATTCCAAGAAAAAGTGCGACGGGAATCTACATATAGTAGTAATTCATCGCACATATCCATGTGATCCGAAAAACAACATAAACAAAGATAAGTTCTCACATCGGTTTTCCCGCGCAGTATAAATCTCGCAGCGTAGACGCTAACGCGGCGATCAAATATTTGATCGTGCAAAACGATCGCGTCGATACCGCCGGGCGGCAGTAGACGTTACAAATGTCTTACAAAAGGCGCGCTCGCCCCCGCGCGCTTCGTCCAACGGCAGACCCCAAGCGGCGACGAGAGCCACGCTTTGCAACTTGCGGTGATTTATCCCATATATACAGTCGACGCCACCCTGCATGGGGCCATATCGCACAGGAATTCCTTCACGAAATCCAATATGCGTACCACGCCGATTTCGTCTGCTGTTCTTTTCTTTTCTTTTCTTTGTTTGCTATTGCCGATGTTTGCCTTTTTTTTCCGCCGATTATCGAATAACATCGATTCCAGTGATGTGCATCTATAAGCTTTTGGTTGCATATGCACAGTGCGTGTTTTTAAGTGTGCTGCTCATCTTTTGTTATTGTCGGTGTGAATTTCCAAACGCATTTTAGTGTGATTATTGTGAGGAAATATGATGAATCATTTTTTTTTTTGGAAATGAATCGCATACATAAAAAATTCCAGATTGGAATTCTCGTTTCCGTTATTTCAAAGCATATGAATAACGAAGTGATACAATTTTAAAAGTTTTCGATTGATTTTCGTTTTAATAATACCATGGAAAATTAATATCAGTGTCTACCTAAAATCTATGACAAAGTAATTAATTCTCTTACATACGTTGTTTGTCATCGTTGATTGCTCGAAAGAATTTTCGGCATTCAAAGTTAAACAATACCGGCAAAGTGTTATCTTACGACGAATCGAAACAATTCGATACATCCTATGTTTGTTCTCCCTTATTCAACAACAAACACGGTGCCAAATTCTTGACAATCCATCAATAAAATGGGTAAATGTAATGCCAAAAGAAGCCAAAACCATTGGCCGATACATAAACCATTTACCACCGTAGAATAGAAGAGCGAGGAGCCCCCGTCGATAGCACAGTCAAACGGCGCCGTTTAAAGTCTCGGGGGCCCCCTAAGAATATATATATATAACGAATAGTCCCTCAGAACATCTCACTCGGGCCATAGATCAGTCGCAGCAGCGGTCTTTCGCCGCCGCGACGGTATTAATAACCGGCGCCCAAGTCAGAGCGCCTCGGATGATACGTGGGCGGTTGTGCCTGTACGAATATGCTCTCCAACTCTTTATCATCCCACAGCTATTAGCTTTATTTTTGCTTTTATTATTTTGAAGATACGCGATCGGAATGAATCCCTTCAGTAGTTGTGTACGTTTGATCAATTGTCGTGTATATGTGGAGAGGAGATTTCAACATCGCTGCGTGTAGCTCTGTATGTGTTTGGGTAACCTAATTTTTTGCCTCGCGGGAGCTCTGCCCACAATTATCAACGCTACTGACTTTGCTCCCACGTTTCTGCGCTACGAAAGCACGAAATTGCAGCGATAATTTGGTTGGCGCCCAGAAGGATAAAAAAATTGGGTTTTAATGTCCACAGACTGTTGCTACTACTCGATTGATGGAAAACTTCGATTCGATCGACCATGGAAAACTGATTTTTTGTTTACGTTTTTGAGCGAATAATCAAGAAAATGTACATGCTCTTACCATTTTACAGATGAAGTAATTTGGGTTTACTATAAATAATATTATTGATAAGAAACAAGTCATTCTCGTATAATCGATCGACAAGAATTCGATTAAGTTATTATATTTTGTATCGATCAGCATTGCAAAATTTTCTACATGATAATATCTAAATTATAATTACTATTCCCGTAAATGATTATTTCTATAACGTCGATCGTAACTGAGCTAATGAATTGTGTCAAAAAACTTGTTCGCTTGCAATGACATTCTTGTAGACTTTTGTAATAAGTATTTTGCGTTCAAGAGCATTACACGGCACTACATTTGTACTTCCTACGGCCTAATGGAAGCTTGGAAACCAATTTTATTGTATCCTCTCAAATAAGCCAGTTTTTTTTTCAATTTTGTGCGGTACCTTGTTTTCTCATATTTTATCGGCACAAAATAATGTGATTATTGCCGATGACAGTACTCGCGATCATTAGGTAAGATGATGAACGAGAAACTGCTAAAAGCGCGATTCGTAATTGCTCGCGGGAGTTTCTAAATTACAAGCAGCGATGATTTTAACGTGATCGTTTCTCCACTTCACTCCTTTGCCCTTTACTTCTCTTTTTTTTTCATATTAATTAGTAAGAAAAAGAAAAGTTGGTTCCATTGAAAGACATTGAATTTCTCATAATTTGTAAAGTACAGGAATAAAGAAAATAAGTGAAGCCTAATTGATTTACTAATTATTTTTTGTAATTTCTAATTTGTTATCGAATTATGAAAAGTACGGTACAAATTGCAACGTCGCTAATCAGGAAGATATTTATTGTTTAATTTTAACCTACACGAAAATTAGTCAACTCCACTGTATTATTTTTAAAAGAAGTCGATAACCACAAAAAATAGCAATGGAAAAAATATATCAAGAGGAAATATCTGGGACCGGGACAGTTTTTTATCTAATGCAAACGAAAAATAAACAGTTCGTTATTCCGAACTTGGTTATAAATTGTCAGGGTAAGCTCATGAACAACGAAGTTGCTTCTTACCCGCAGATACTTTCTTCACGCGGCTTAGAAAGCATCAACGCCGGCAATGATAATTATACTCGTTACCGCGCGCAAGGATCCCGCGTATTATTCCTTTGCTCTCAGCGTGGGCCCCCTGCCCTGAACAACACTACAGAGCAGCAGGGATATTTAATTTCGTCCTGCGAAAAGAATAACCTGCACACGCGCGCGCCGGCTAATTTACAGCTCCGGTTATACACTCGTCGTGCTTACATCGCTTTTCATTCGTCTCATTGTCTTCTTTACCTCTTTCTACGCCTGTCACCCAACCGCTGCTCGTTCGTCTCTCTCTCTCTCTCTCTCTCTCTCTCTCTCTCTCTCTCTCTCTCTCTCTCTCTCTCTCTCTCTCTCTCTCTCTCTCTTCATATCTTTTTTTTCTTTTTCCGTTGGCTGTATGATATGATAAATATATACTTACAGTGCAGAATAGAACACCGCTTTTTGCTTGTCTGAAAGTTTTGAAAATGTCGGTCCGCTCTTTGTGAGACATGTTTCCATGCAATTTGAAAAATTCAATGTCTACCAATGGATCTGAATCTTCATCTTCGGCGTCTGTTGGTTTTGTAAGGACAGTCGACAGTGTTTCTGTATGAAAGTCGACCATGTCTTGAGTTGCAACGAAAACTATAATTTTATGACTTCCTTGTTGCTGTTAACAAAACAACAAAAATTGAATTTCTACAATAAAAAATTTAATTTTGATTAATAGTCAAAGTTTGACAGGAAAATGTTGTATACCTGACATTTGCCAGCAATGTATGCGCTTAGCGTGACCAGCCTTAATTTTGGTGGAGTAACAATATAACTTTGCGTAACACTTTGAGGTACGACTAAATCTTCGTTAACGTCAGCATCAATTCCACCTGAATTTTCAATATTCTCCTTGGCGGCGTCAACAAAAACGGGATTATACATCGTTAATCCGGCAAGCTTTTCAACCGCGTGAGTTAATGTTGCCGATAAAAGAATTGTTTTTCTCCTCTGCAATTTATTTTCGTTAGAATTTTCCTCTCCAGCACTTTTTCCAAGCTCATTATTTTGTTGAGATTCTGCACTTTTCGGCTCATTTCCATTAGTGGAATTCTCTTCAAACTCAGAGTTATTTTGTCTTCTAACTGTATATTTATTTTCTTCGTCATTTTCTTCATGCTCTGTTTTAATTTCACTTAGGTTATTTCCTTTTAATTTAATATTTTTTCGGAGCATCGCCAAAGCATCGTAGCTTGAATCTGATGAAGTATTTGGAGTATTTGTGAGAGTAGCAACAATTCTGAAATTACGATACAATCATAAAATATAATATAAATCATAAAAAAAAGTAAACAAAAGTTTTTTCAAATTCAAATCAAATTATTACATACTCAGAAATGTCTTTTTCATATCCCATATCAAGCATTCTATCAGCTTCATCCAGCACCAGACAATTAATTCTGTCAAGTTTTAAAGCATTTGTGTGTTTGATGTGATCTATCAATCTTCCAGGTGTAGCAACTAATATTACACAACCTTTTCTTAATCTTGCTTTTTCTGCTTTCCTCTTTTCTCCACCCATTAAATAACCTGGCACTATCCATGTAAAGGGCTTAATACAATACAATAGAATGTAGAAAAAATAAATAATTTTCTCAGAAAGAACACTTAAACTAACTATAAATTTATTGTTAACTTACCTTTACCAATTTGAGAAAACATTCATAAGTTTGAAGAGCTAATTCTCTTGTTGGTACTATCACAAGTGCTCTGGTACCGTCATTTCTTGATAATTTTGGCTTGATACTTTGCAAAGATTCAATTATAGGCAATGCATATGCAAGAGTTTTTCCAGATCCAGTTTGCGATCTTACTAAGACATCATGACCAGAGAGTATAACAGGAATGGCTTTTTTTTGAACTGTCGTCATAGTGGTAATATTCATATTCTGTTCTAAATTTGACACAGCATAAGCGTGTATTCCTAATTCGCTAAATTTTTCAGCACTAAATACTTTTTCATTTACAGGTTTCACAAATCTCTGACCTATATGTGGAATTTCAGGATTATGCCCGAAAAGCGATGCAATTTTGCCCTTTGGATGAAAGTTATGATTGACATTTTCTGATTTTGAGTCATTATGTTCCTTGTGAAATCTTGCCTTATCATTAAATTTTTTTATTTTCTTTGGAAAGTTACTGTCTTTATCCATAGGTATCTTCTTTGAATTTTCATCATAATTTTTTGAATTCTTTTGACCAAAATCAAATTTAAGTTGTTTGTCTGAAACTATATTATCTACTCTGTCTTCATTAACCTTATTTTTTGAAAGATTTGCTTCTGATAAATTAGACGTTTTAAAAATATCTGAAAGAGATTTTTTTTCTTCTCTTGTATCAATTTTCCTTTTTCTAGCTAAGATTGTTTTTAAAGTATTCTCTTTTGAAGTTTTGACAAAAGAAATAACTGGCTTGCTAGAGTCACCACCTGCCTTAGCTGAAAAACTAACTTTTTTGTCATTGGTCAATTGTTTATTATTAGTTACTTGACTCGTAAATAGACTACTACTTTTTGACGAAGTTATAGAGTCAGATTTTTTTAAAATAGAAGCTTTAGGGACTGCTGAAGATACTTTAACTTTCTGTGAATTCTTAGCAACAAGAGTAGCTAAACATTTCTGTTTTATTCTTTGCTTTGCCCCAGTGAAAGAGCTCTTTATAGTATGAATCGATTCAGCTTTTGCAAGAGTATTTTTCTTTTTTCCATATTGTTTCGTCTTCATTCTTTTAATGTGCATATCTTTTGGTATTTTCGGAGTCTATTAAAAAAACGTAAAACTGATAAATAAAGGTTCAAGCTGTACAAACAACGTTTCCTTAACTACGCACATACCTGCTTTTTTGAATTGACAGTACCTCCAGCAATGTTTAAGCATATGTCCATATCATCTTTGACAGCCATCTTGCATGACAATCGACACTTTTTAGTAATAAACAATTTAACACCAACAATTCACACAAAAAAAATCAACCACATACTATAACCTCAAATCACCACGTGCTTAACTGCTCACCGAGAAGGAAAACCAAACACAGATGCTACGCATCAGCAGACCACAACACAAGTACACAACACCAGACAACACGTAGAAGAGTCCGAATCCGAATCTGAAATATAATACCTACACACACAAAGATCAAGCGAGCAAAGCGCGCATGCGTGCAGTTGTCGCGTTTCCGCGAAAGATCGTGTATTTAAAATTCATCTACGTCTGCGTCGCCACTGATTATAAATTCGGGCGCTTATCCTCGTTGTCGTTTAGAACGAAAACGAGACTGGTCGTGAGCGAATATACATATACCTATATCTCCATCCAAGCATGGCTGTCGTGTAGGCACTCGTGTGGAATATGTATTTTTTTTCGACTTCGGTGCTTCGTATTACTGAGCAAAATCTTGTGTTTGTTGGTACGATTATGGATTGTTTCGAGTTGGTGATTATTTAGTGAACGTTCAACAATAGTAACGACGTATTACATTGATTTCTCTCGAGTCGAAGAATTGAATACCGTTTAATCGGCAGTGTGATTGTAGTTGTACGAATAGGTCGCTGAAGTAAATAGATTTTGACACGGATTGCCGAGCTGTTTACACTATTTTTCGTTGTGTGTGACGAGTGAGTTCGTGCTTCAAAGTTGTAACATTCGTATCTGCGACGCCGAAGATTTCAGTTTTAGACTTTTGGTTGTCACACGAATCGGCTACAGCCGATGGTCTTAGTATTATAGTGTCATATTGTAAATATGGCAAAGGTGACTCAAATGTGTTGCATAAGTTTAACTTTGTCAGCCAAGTTGATCGGGACCTTCGGCTTGGTGAGTTGTTAATATATAAACATTGTTTGAATTATTTGTTTGGTTGTTAATATCATTTAACCAACATGGAGAAAGTTACCAGTTTTATTCCTTTCAATGTTATCAATCATTCACGATATCGCTATGAATCCGCATTTAATAGCAAGAAATGTTATGTTCGCATTTTGGAAAAGTATACGGTGATACATCTGTACAACGAGCATTCTGTTCTCCTAAAGAATTTATTTCAACTCCAAAATAATTATTACTCAGTTACAATGTAACTTTAATTCGAAGAAAAACACAGAAAAAAATTAATGAATTGGTTATCTTGCTTACAGTCCTTGTCAATCTTAATGATCAATATGTTGATGAGTAACTTTTTCTCAACGGAAGAGGAAGAGGAATTCATCATAGCTTTAAAGTCGTGGATGCTGTTCGGTTTGAATTGGACATACGTAATGAAGAGTATGAAAATCACGGAAACCGGTATGTATATACTCGTATACTATACAAATGTATGTAGTATGATGGAAACTCCAGACGCCGCATCGCTGATTGTCGGCAACAAAGCTTTGACAGTGTGTTGTGTGTGTGTGTGAGTGCGTGCATGCGCGCGCGTTTTAACACACAAACGTTTTAAAAATAGCAAGGCGTGACATTCTGAACGAAGATAATTGTTTATTACAGCACGCATACTGCTTACCTGCGTTCTTATCTACTCGGCGCTCTCTCTCATTGCTAATGCTCTCTTGGCCCTGGGCTCTCTCTTGGTAAGTGTCTGTGTTTCTATTCGTGCGATACGCGCTACTCGCTACTCATGCTTATGTACATATTCCACGATATGAACATTCCATTTTGCTCATTCACACGCACGCGCTTCTTTTTCCTTTATCGATACAAACGATTCAATAATCGCAAGAGTCTTGTATTTGCATGAACATTTGTCATTAAACTTTACACAAATGTCTCGACAGTATGCGGTCTTTCAACTGTGTCGGTAGATTAGAAAATTTCTCCTAGATCTTTTTCTTTTTTTTTAACAAGTTGAATTGTGTTGCGAAACACTTAGGTGGCAAATTTGTGACGTTCTCACCAATTAGCGTGAAATCCCACGAGATTTCAAATTAATTGTCGAATTCTCGTCTCCATTATTATTTACCTACACTGGTAATATTCATATATCCGTATTTATGTTTCATTTTTTACCTGCTTTGCGGAAAATTTTGTTCTCTCGCAGTCTGGCTATATCAAGACAATTAGGCGGCGGTAATATTTTAGAGGTCGAAAAGTAGTAGTAATTTTGCCATACGATTGAACGCTTCGAATACTCCTGTTTTTTCCCTTATAATTTTTGGACTTAAATAATTTTTTACAATTTGCAGAAAAAACCGTCCTATGCGCTGCCATGGATGTACATGCAAATGATCAGCATCGTAGACCAAACAATCTCTCTAGCGATGCACTTAACTGAAAATGAAAGATACGATCTGAAAGACAAAAACGTTTGGTATGTCCCGGCTTGCAGTATTTACCTCTGTGAGTATATTCACTGCTGTAGAGTCGTGCGTTCTCCCAATTGAATTTGCATTCGTTAAAAACACGAACAGAGCTAGAAAAGTAATGCGCATCATTGTATACAAGAGAGATACACTTTTCGCGTACAAAATCGTTATCAAAATGTTTATATAGACCGATACGATTGTTTACTTTCTTTATTTTTCAGTAATAAGTTCGTACTTCTGGATTCTCGTTATGGCAGCTCGTTGCCAGTGGCTAGCCGAGAGTGAGAATTATGATCAATTCTCTACAACTTATTCGTCATCTTCACAGTACTCTAACGATGCGAACATGCCGAAGACGCCATCGTACCTGATGTCAAATCCAATAGTTTTCGGATACGACTCGCCACCTCCACTACCACCACCCAAATACGAAGTCGTTTAATGTGGAGACTCCATTTTCCCATTGTAAATATTCATACATCAAGAGATTTTAGAACTGATTCATGAAGGCGACATTTCTCTTGATTCCTCATCGGAAGAAAACATAAAACAACACTAGTTCATCGATTATCGTTTAACAGTTGTTAAGAGCATGATTAGTATTATTACTTATTTATAAAATTCTTTTTTATACGAAATGCACACAATATAATTTGTGACTGAATAAAAATAAGTATCAGCATTAATGATTCACGCGATCGTTTTCAATCAGCGTACAGTGATAGCAATCAGTTTGGGAAAAGGAAAAAAGAAAGCATGTGCGCCGGGATTCAAAAATTTAGAAGACAGACCGGATGACTACATGGCCGTTTCTCTGGAAATTTAGGATCTCCATTAGGCGAGCTACTGCTCATGGATTATTCACGCGCGGGTGAGTGCTGCGCAAAGTCGCGTTTTTCACGGCGAAAAGAAGTTTACCAAGCAGTCCAGCAGCGGCGACATGATGACGCGAGACACATCAATCGACCGACCCAGTGGGATTTGTTACTGCTGCTTTTTTACTGATACAAATCGGAAATCTGGCGCTAATAGAGTGTATCGAGAGAAGCGCGGGTGCGTTTTAACGTCAAAATATACTTTTAAACTTTTGTCGGCATTTCAATCGAGTGGCAAACTCCCTTGTGGGGTGACCGTGGGCGGTGGCCGGACGATTTGTTAGGGAATAGCCAACGACTTCCCTCGATATCTCTCTTTTTTTCGCTCGGTAATGGAAGACGATGGGGAAGTTGAGTAATAAGGAGAGCAGCTCTTTAGGTACTTTTATATTTATGCGCGCGTCCTCCTGTTTTTCTAGATTTTGTGCGTAGGTCCTAGATTTACAGGATTATCTGTTCAGTGTTACCATAGAGCAAAGCTAATATTGAACGAGGATGCTACCAATATATTCAAACAAATGATTAAATTACGCGTGGTTTTGTTTTTTCTCAAGACCAAAATAATCTAAACTTCAACGTCGCTAATCGCTGGTATTCTCAAAAGCTCAAACTTGCAAAAATCCCACCGTTTCACTTGGTCCTGTAAGAAAACTCTTGGAAAGGGGCAGTTAAGAAAAAAAGCATCCTGCAAAGATTTACCAAGAGGGAGAGAGGAAAAGGAAGAAAAGCGAAAGCTGAAAGGAAGAAAATTCCCTCGTCTCGCGGGAATGGGATTTAGCTGAAGAAGCTAAGGAGGCGGCCAGCAGTACTCTTTGCGGCAGTAGAGAGAGAGAGAGAGAGAGCTAGTTTTATTTTACAATCCATCGGCTCCGCGGGGCGCGACGACGACGAAAAGCCGTGCGCTGTCAACTAGTGTTTTAAAAGTTTGCGACAGCCTACAAATTGGCTCGCTCGGTTCTTTCTAAAAGCGCCGTCGACAGCTTGCAACTCCCCGTTTTTCTTGCTGGCGATATCGAGCTATGAATTTGCGAACAAGTCGCGAACCAAACGTCGCATACGAGATATGTATATCGATTTTCGATAACGCATTCGGGAATATGATTAAAATTTCCAGAGCATTGTCTAAATATGTACTTATTTAATAGTTCCTTATCGCGGAGAGTATTCGTTACGAGATTTCAGATATCAACATGACTTTGTTTGATCATCACCGCTAAGTACGGGGTAATCAAAGAACTCGGACGTAAACAACTGATAATGCTTTGTGCAACGACGAAAAGGTCACTGGACATTCGACCGACTGAAAAGTCTGTGATCTTCACCTTCCAAAGCACATGTGCCAGTCAATAATTAACGATTCGAAAGTTCATTCGCCAAGTTATATGTCAGTCCATGCGAGTTGTTTGGAACTGGAGCGTAATTATTAATCGATTTCGCATTAATTGTTTTCTGGGACGTCGCGTCAGAGTTAAGTGGGATGTTGTGTTCGCCTCGACATCATAGCGCCTGAAGATTAATTGCCCGCTGCAGCTGTACACTACTACTCAGCAACGACCGACGATTTATATATACACGCGCGTGCACACACACACACACACACATGCACGTCATACGTGTGCTTCTGTACCCCTCTTTCCTCGGGAAAGCTACGATAAATCTCGCTGTATTGACTTGCAGACGTATTGATAGGACGCTTTATAACGTTTATTGGAGAATTTCAATGTAGGTTTGAGAATGTAAAGAGAAGAGATATCATGAAACTTTTCTTTGAAATTATTTTATCTAGAAATGTTGATGTATCTTATCCATCGGAATCCAAATGATTGGGCGAATATAATCAGCTTGAGCTCCGTCAGCGCATCAGCTTTAGTGAAATAATAAGTTATGTGAAAGGCTCTATTGAAAGTAATGCTTTTCTTGAGGAAAATAATCCTTCCATTCTTATGAGATTTTTTTACCGTTTCATCTGATTATTTCTACTGTTGGGACAATTGCTATAGCTGCATCTTATTATAATGAGTTGACAAAGGATGCGTGGATTTGGAAGAAAAATAACGTATTTGCGTGTGATTCCGATTTAAATATTTCTTAGAAAATGCCTGCACTTCTGAAGATTTTTTGTAAGTATTTCAAAGCTACAGTGCGCTGTAAATAATTTATTGATAATAACAAACATGTTTTTACTCTAACGCAGCTTCATATCTTCCTCAACGATGGATCATTATAACGATTTGTTTCCTTGATATATTTAGTGTCTATAGCATGCGAATATGTTTATCTATGGCAATTACCGAGATGGTAGCGCCGTTGAATCGCACGACAAAATCATCTAATGACGATACGTGCCCTGCTAAAGAATCACTTGTCGTCAGTCCGCGATATCTAAACGCCAGTGCAGTCAAAGCTAGTACATACAATTGGGATGAAGAAACTCAGGTACAATGACAGCTTTAACATAAGCAAATGCACGAAAAAGTAAATCCAAACAACAATGATTGAACAGGGACTGATATTATCATCGTTTTATTGGGGTTACGTGCTAACAAACATTTTCGCTGGCTTCACTCTCGACAAACTCGGTGGCAAACACACCCTCGGATTTGGCGTACTGTCTACGGCTGCGTTAACAATACTGACACCATTGTGCATCAAATGGGGTGGCGCAACTGCATTCATTGGCTTACGTCTGCTGATGGGTCTCTGCGAAGGTGCGATGTATCCAGCAATATTACGCTTGATGGCTCAATGGACACCCGAAGACGAACGTTCTTGGGCGGCCTCGTGGGCATTTTCTGGATCACCTGTGGGTACAATTATCGGTATGGCTGCATCCGGTGCTATGATACAGCGATCGGATATTGGCTGGCCAATTGTATTTTACTTCTACGGCGGACTTGGAGTTTTGATTTATCTACTTCATTGTGTCTTTTGTTACGACTCGCCTGCTGTGCATCCCTTCGTCTCGAAATCGGAAACGAATTATTTGTCAGGCAAATTGCGTAAGTTACAAGGATCATGAACCCAATGAATGGTGTACATTGACAAAAAATAATTGTTTGCAGAGCACACTCATACAAACTTACCACCGACACCCTGGCTTCACATGATTCGCTCAAAATCCGTATGGGCACTTCTCACTGTGACTACGGGCAAAGCATGGTGTCTTTTTACATATATCAGCGACATGCCTAAGTTTATGAGTAGTGTTCTGAAATTGTCTGTGGAAGAAAACGGTTACATCTCGTCGATTCCACACGTTGTCTCCTGGATAGCCGGATGTGCATTATCATGGTTAGCCGACTACGTTATCGCAAAGAAACTCGCGTCGACAACCTTCGTTCGTAAAATTGGCAGTAGCATCGCTCTTGTTGGTACTGGTGTTTTCCTAGTTATTGCCACTTATGTTGGATGTAATGCTACCCTCGTCGTCACTTTTCACACCATTGGCATGATAATGTTCAGTTGCAATAATTTCGGCATAATGGTCAATGCTCTCGATCTGGCGCCGAATTACGTTGGTGCACTCCAAGGTGTAGTCTTTGGATTTGCTACTGCAGCTGGATTTCTGGCACCGTATGCGGTTGGTGTTATTGCACCGAATCAAACGATTAGCGAATGGAAATTGGTATTTTGGTTAATGTTATTTATCGGTTCGGCTAGTAATGCGATTTTTGTAGTATGCGGTAGCGCTGAAGTACGGAAGTGGAATAATCCGAGCTTTTTGGAACGTAAGAAACTACAAAGTGAAAAGGGCGAGATTGCAGAGAACGATGAATTGCTTGTAATAAAATAGGAAGTATTGTCGAAAGCATCCCCATGACATCAACAACGAGCTCTTGGATTTTATGTTCGTAGGATTCCATTAGTTGCTTGCATGTGTTGGAGTCGATTGAGACTACAATATAACTTGTGTACTTTTATCTGACTACGGATTCAGGCATGCACGCTTCATATATTTAAATTGCAAAAAGTTACTTCAAAAATAAATTTCGTAAATGTGATTTGCCAAAGCGAAAAAACAAATTCGATATAAAACGCGCGTGCTAACCGTAGCTACTCGATTTGATGTTACTCTTTACTATATAGCTCCCTGATTTTATTGATCTGCTACTGCACACGAGTTCGCGCGCGCGTCTCGCCGGCAGCAGCGCGAGCGCTGGAACTCCGGAACTGAACGGCCCATAAAGCTAACCAATGCTAATACTCTCTCGTCCCCCGTTACACGAACATACACATAGGAAGAGAGAGAGAGAGAGACACAGAGAGAGAGAGAGAGAGAGAAAGAGTGAACGGACGGATAGCCGGAATCGGCTATAAACGCGTAACCGAGCCTAATTCGCAACGGCGAGTCATTGCCGGCCCCCGACTACTACGCGCGCACGGCATTGTCACATGCGGCTCTCAATACATATACATGCTTTTTCCCACTCGATGCAGGAAACTGCCTGTAATGCTCCAGCCTAAAAGGTCCAGCATGCCCATTTAAATATCAAGCGCACCAATTCGATTCGACTTTTTGTCTGATAAATGTTGCTGTCATCGGTTGCTCCGGTTATTCGTCTCTCTTTGGCTATACGCATGCACGACGGGGTTATTATATGAATGAGAACGATTTTGCGTGCGTGTGGCTTTGAAACAGTTGTTTAACTGCAAGTCTTTATGGATTTCTAGGGTTGCAAAGAGTGTAGTCACGTCATGATTTCATACGAATGTTTCATTGATTTCGCGAATGACATCGTTTACTTCACATTGGATGATTTCGACTTTCTATTAAATACTTTATGAAAAGGTGCTTAATTCATATAGAAATTAATAACTCATATTTGTGAATTACCAAAATCTATGCAATAATACTCAAAAATCCACCGATACATGAGTCTATATAAATAAAATGTAAAAACATACTGGAATGAAATAACAGTTTGAAACTATGCCACTTGCCAAAATCTTATTTGGAGTGAAAAAAAGTTGGACCGCGAGAATATGTTGTGTATTCGTATTGTGCAAGAGGCACTGGAATAAAATATGTGCTGCTAGCCTGTTTCGCGATACGTCGCTCGGCTACGCCCTTTTCGGCTGATCTTTCTCTCTTCGACCGCATAAATAATTCCGTAAAAGCGGAGGAAAAATGGACACGTGCCGGTGTGATGAGCTTTTTGCCGTGCTTATGCGCGTGTCTTTCTCCGCCTACGAAAAAAGGCGACTTTACGAAACGGTCATTCCGAAATATCAGCGTAGCGCACACACATACACATACGCGCGCGTGCGCGCGCAGACGCGAATAGGAAACAATTGTCGCAATGGCACGTGCGTCATCATCATCTGTATGCGCTGTGAGCGCGACAATAGGACAGATTTCATAGTAGATTGGGCGCGCGGCGGTGACCCGACCGACCGACCGAGTGTAAAGGATCGGTCATTCGGAAGAGGAAAATCGTGTAGCCGACGTGTGGCCCTTTCGAAGGAAACTTTCCATGGGAAATAGCCGCACGCGCGCGCGCGTTCATTCGTTACGCGCGTGCCTACTTTTATAGCGTGTGGCGCCCTTTGATCAATTGTCATTTAATAATTTCGATGGGCAAGAAACGTTTATGAATGCGGAGGCTTAATGTATTACAGTCGTTTCTGCCTCATTGCAACTTCACTGTGCACACTGTCAAAGAGTTTTTCGGACTACTGCACATTAGTTTTGACTCGACGGCAGATAATAACGTTACGTATTATCTCACGATGCCGCAATTTCTTTCTTGTAAACTTAAGCAAAAGTAGATTTCAACTGAATCGGTATTATTTGTCGTCTTTTTGTTCGGCGAAGCTTTAATCGTCCAACAATTAGCTTGTGAAACGTCGAGTCACACCCAGCACGTGCGGTCTCGTCGCAACTGCAATCTTAACGCACACAAGGATATATAGCTCGTCTATCGAGTGATTGGATCAATTTTCAACTCTATCGGGTAGTCTGCAATAATAAGCGCTATTTCTATCGAGCTAAGCAAAGGCACACGGCGGCTAGATTGATTTTGCGCTTGTCATTACTTACTTTTCTCATTTAATCAACTGAAAACTCGCATTACACTTGGGCGCTGTAGACACTGGCACAGCTAACGCGAGAGCGTCGGCACAATTCCTAATGATTACCAAGAGGCACCGCCTCGCATAACTGCATTTTCGTAATAACACAGCCATATGCAGTCTTTTCTCTCGACAGTGGACGCGACGGCGGCGGAACGCTCAGCCAACTGCGAACGGATAAATGCCTTCTAATAAATTTAATAACCTTCCGGCCTACATCTCACGCCGGTAGATATGTACATATGTAGGCGCGTTGTGTGTATGCGTAGCCCCGTGGAAAAAAAGGTCAATAATAATTTTTAATAGCATCTGCATTACTCGCAGCCGCAGCTACTGTGCATCATAAATCGTTCGACATTCCGAAAGAATGCGAATACAAGGTTCGCAGACGCGTGCTATATTGTGTATATATGTGTCTGCGAGCGTGCGATCATCGCGTACTGAAAACACGTTTAATTATGTACAAAGTTTTTCAAGCGAGGAGGAAGTTGTAAGTTGCGAAACTTAAAGCAGGTTACCGTCGTAAATTCGAGCGCGGCAGAGAGAGCTGAGCTCTGCCGCATTGTAGCTACAAATTATAATTATTGCAGCCATTCTTGTGCTCTTTGCCCGACGTTTTAATCAGTTATAAGAATACAAAACAAAATTATCGGCGTAGCTGTACTTTTTTTTTTAATATCTGTTCGCGAAAAACGTACAAGCTCGCCGAGTATACGTGTAACGAAGTTTTGCGCACATGCCAAAGTAAAAGTATGAAAATTAGCGGCTAATAATCAATTTGATAGCGACCGAGAAATCGGTGTATAACTGTCGATCAGCGTCCTTTGCCAACTCGTATTAAACATATATACGCGCGCGGCATTATAGCACATTTGCGAGTACGCAAATTGCCAATCGCAACGGTTGACTTGCCGCCGTGTATTTTATATATAGTTGTGTACATGCGTTTGCATCACGCACGCGCAGAAAATAAAATTATTATAGCCTTTCTCTCTCTCTCTCTCTCTCTCTCTCTCTCTCAAAGCTGTATGAACAGCAGCATGGAGATTTTTATTGCCTTGCTCGGAGAATTTGCCTTTATCGATGTTTCGTTGAGTCAATAAAATTTACTATGCGAGTTTTTCTTCGACGATCGCGCGGCGCAATAGACACGACAACTTTGACAGTTGCTTTATTGTGTTTGCGAATGACTGGATGATGAAATTATGAAAATTGCTAGAAAATTGATAGCTTGGCAGCAATCCGAAAGCAAGAAGCATCGAGAAAATGCGCAGAGTGCGTCCGAACGAGGTCAAACTCTAAACAAGATTTAGCGTAACGAGCGATCCGACGTCGCAGAGATAGCAGAAGGGCTAAAGGTGCAAGTTGAAGTGAAGCGGAAGTTGTGCGAGCGCGGACGCACCGCCAACAACAAAGCGCGTACACGCCCGGCGGCTGCCGGCTTTTATAAAATGGCTGCCGCGGAGAGTGCACGGTATATAGACGGCGAAAGAGCTCCGCGGGGCTTGAACGAACGGCAATTAGGTGTCTCTCGCTCGTTCGCTCGCGCGACATTATGCAAAGTAGATGTTGAATTTAGATGCGACCAGCACCCACGCGCGCCCGCTAATCCCTTTTGCGCGCGAGTGTCTCTCTTCTCTTCTCTCCGTCTGTTTTGCCTAATTACGTCGTCACCACGGCTAACGGCTCGCACTTTGCGCCCTCCTTCTCGTTTCTGCGTTGGGCTTGTGGGAAAACAAAAATGATGCACCATCAATTCGATCGCTCCAGACATTTGGAATGCGTGCACCAACTCGCCAGCGGTATCTATACCTATATTCGAAAGAAGGGCTCGGTACAAATAGGAACGACAAGTTGTGCTAATCAGGAGAACCAATAGAATTCTGATTATTAAGGTGCAAGTTTCGTCCGCTTTGCTTTGAAACTCAGAAAGGCGTGCAGCAGCAGCAGCAGCAGCAAGCATAGCTTATTTGCATCTGTCTCAGTTGGCGTGCAAAACTCTTTTTCTCTCTCCCTCCTCCCATAAAAAGCCCAAAGCGAAACTCTGGCACGGCGAGCGAGAGAAACTTGGCTTTTATTAATGTTGCATCTCCGCGCGCGCGACTCCGACGCGACAAATTAGCGCGCGTTTTAAATCCAATCTCGTGAGCTAGCTTTTCTGTGTTTTGCATTTCGCGCATTTGAGGTGTAAAATATTAAAGTACTCTCGCTCCAGTCGCGCGCGCGCGCGCTCGCGTTTCATCTCGTTTCCCTTTTCGAATCGCGTGCTTTGGCTTAACGAGCGTGCAACTGTCTTTTGTAATTTTCAAACACACCGGCCATATGCCATTCCGCGGGATATGCGGCGCGATTGTAACTTCTAATCTGCCGACGCTGTCGCGCCAGCGCGAACCTCCGTTTTCATCCGACAGAATACGCATGTAATGAAAACATGTAAGGTTACATCCGCTTCGGAAATCACAATTAAATGCTGCCTCGTGTAGCTTTCACAGTCTGTAGCTTTGCCGTACAATCATATCCATGACTTATTGCAAAGAGACTTGGCCTATTTTTCGAAAAAGCTGGCTCGGCAGCAAAAAGCTACGATTCGAATAATCTTTTTCCTTGGAAAAATGAAAAGAGACACTTATGCGCGCTCACGCATAATATAAGGAGAAAGAGCTTATACATCACTGATATTTCCATTTCGTGTCTAAATATTCAATCTCTTTCGCGCACTCG